TTTTCTGGCCAAGTGGCAGTCTTCAAGTAACCTTCCTTCGTGGATGTAGTCAATGATATCATCTATCCAATTTTCCCAAGCATCAATGGTTGCAATTATTTTTGGTTCTGGTTCATTGACACTCGGAGCAGTGAGGCATTCAAATGGGATAGTTCGCCAGAGAGAGTAGTGAACGGTCGAGGCTATGTTTGCCGATTTGTTAGCGTGGCCGTTTTCTCCCCTTGGAATTTGTTGGATTTCATATTTCTCAAATCTTTTGAGCAGCGACTTAGCCTTGTTCAGGTAAAGCACCATTGTAGGGTGGTGTGCGGCGTAATCTCAGTGACTTGGTTTATTATGAGCATCGAGTAACAATGGATTGATAATTTTCTCACTTGGACTTCCACTGCCACCCTAAGCCCAACTAGAAGCATTTCATATTCTACTTCATTATTACTTGCCTTAAACTCGAGCTTTAAAGCTTGCTTGAGTATGGAGCCGTCTAGCGTTACTAAGACCATTCATGCTCCTACCTCCTTTACGTTCGACAATCCAACCACATAGAGCTTCCTGAGGCGAGGGTTCTTAGGCACTTTTCAGGAGTCTACGATGCTTGAGGTATCTTAGGCTATTAGCATGAACTCCAATACAAAGTTTACCAACGTTTGGGCTTTGATCAAAGTCCTAAGCCGATAGATAATCTCGTGTTGTCCTAGCACAATGGCCCATTTAGTGACTGTAGATGGTGCATCGGGACTGTGCTAGATGGATCGAAGAGGATGCTCCGTTATGTAAACTACTTTGAATGATTAAAAGTACAGTTAAAGCTTTCTGTTACCAATGTGAGGATAAGCTTTTCCATTTTCTGGTATCTAGTTTGAGAAAAGCTTTGATACATAGTACACAAGTTTCTGATCCTCGAGTCTTCTCGAATTCGAGCTGCACTAACCGCGCAATTTGATACCGCCAGATATAGTTACAAATCTTCTTCATTCACTGGCTTGGACAATGGTGCGAGATTGGACAAGTATTCTTTTAACTTTATGAAGAACTTTTCACACTCATCTGTCTAGAGTAGGCCTTTACTCTTCTTTACTGCAAAAAAAATGGTTTGTACCTATCAGTAGACCATGAGAGGAATCAGCTGAGGGCAGCAACTCTTCTTGTCAAGCTTTGTATCTCATTCATGGTCATAGGCGACTTTATCTCCATGATTTCCCTGATTTGATTTGGGTTAGCTTCGATTCCATGTTTGGTGACCAGGTAACCCTGGAACTTGCCCGAGGCTACCCCAAGGGTGCATTTTTTTTCGAATTTAATTTCATATTGGACTTTTGGAGCAGAGCAAACGACTCATGGAGGTGGGTCAAGTAGTCCTAACTTTTCTTTGAAAATTCGATTGACAAAAAGCCTTCGATAGGTTGCCCCTGCATTTTTAAGACCAAAAGGCATAACTTTGTACAATACGTACCTCATTCGATAACAAAGAAGGTTGCTTCCATGTCCGCCTCGTACATTTTTATCTGATTGTATTCAGAGTAAGCGTCTATGAAGCATAACATGCCATGCCTTGCAGTTGAATCCACCACCTGTTTAATCTACAGGAGAGGATATGGATCATTCGAGCATGCCTTGTTTAGATCTGTGAAGTGTACACACACCCTTCAAATTCCCATTTTCTTCTATACAAGCACAATGTTGGCTAACCAGTCTGGCTGGTGTACTACGATGATGAAGTTGGTGTCCTTAAGATTGTCGATCTCTGCCTTTATTATCTTGTTTCGTTCTGTTTGGTGATTTCACTGACGCTGGATAACTGGTCTGGCAATTGAATCTAGGTGGAGGTGATGCAAATCATGAAGGATTAATCCAGGGCATACCTTCTACGGACCAAGCACACACATCTTTGTTAGCCTATAAGAAGTTAATGAACAATTATTTCTCGAGATCGGTCAGTTTTTATTTGATCTTGGCATTGCACTCCGACTTTTTTTCAGCATCAAGAATGATATACAAAACGTCCTTATCGACTTTTGACTTCGTAATGCTACCATCTTGGGGGTGGTCTAGGTCAAAATCCTTATAGCTCGTTTATCAACCCTCAAACTAGGATTGCTATGCTGATTCATCCATAGAAGTGTTAGAGCTCCGCTCTTCCTTCTGGATCATGTTCATGCTCTTGACAGCAAAGCAGCGCGCAACTGCTTGGTGTCCTTTTATTTCCTTTACCCCATCTAGAGTGGGGTAGCAAAGCAGTTGGTGGTGGGTTGAAGTAAAAGCTCTCATCTTATGTAGCTAGTTCTGACTAAGAATGATGTTGTGAGGAGTTGAGACATAAAAGGTCACTAGATGGTTGTAAGGTGCTGCTTGAACCGCCAGCTTCCACCATTCTCAGAGACTAGATAGGGGCCCATTGACTATGTGGAGCGTAGTTTTTCCTTTGTTGATGCTATCAAGAAGACCTATCTTATCAGCGGCATCTTTAAAGAGGACGTTTACACTTGATCCATTGTCCACCAAGACTGGGCTGACCATGACGTTAGAAATCTGCACCTTGACGATGAGGGCGTCGTCATAGGGAGAGTGGACATCTTCCAAATCTTGATCAAAGAACATTAAGATGTTAGAGTTGATGGGCGGTGGTTTATTGATTGAAGCCACCATTTGGGGGTTCTTGCACACTGCTTTTCTTTTGCTTCAAGTCTTTTCTAGATACTCTTATTCCTCCCTATATGCAGTTGACTCTGGAGAGTGTTTTTTCCCAAAGCATCGACTAGACAAATACCTTAAAGCTTTCTGGATTTTTTGTGTCGCATTTCGGGAGTAAGTCGTTGGGACTGTGCACCTGGGCTCAAGGCAACAATTATTATTGGGATCTTGGCAAGCGTTGCTTAAACCATTGGCTCCTTAACGGGAGAAGGTGTTTGAAGGTCCTTCACTTGCATCTTAAGGTCGGTGAGTCTCGTTGGTTCTTTGGTTTGCGGGCTCTTTTGGATACCTTCTAAAGATAAACATACCTCCATCAAATTCTCCCATATCTGATCTATGACAAAAATTCAATTGTTCTCGGGGTCAATGTCATGCAAGAGACGGCATGGTGACAGCGTGATCGCTTAGCTTGCCTTCAAACGGGTAAAATGATTTGGTTTGACCGTACTGAATCGCCATAAGTTAACGATCTAGAACGTGAGTTTAAGCCAGTTCAATAAACATAAGTGCATGTTGTTGCGCCCTTGTTGGTCTATTTTCATTGCCATTTGTGAAGCGGATGCTGATGGATACAAAAGTTTGTTCAACATATATAGAAAGAGAAATTTTCTACTTAATAAACAAGGGCAATGGAAAAATAGGTACTCAGTGCTCAATTTTTATTTATTGCAATGATATTTTAACCCATGTTTTATTGTTTAAAAAAATAATAGACATGTTATTTAATTTTGTATAGAACTATATCTATAAACCTATTTTTATCTTCTACACACTCCTAATATTCGATCGTTGGATCGAATAAATTAAAGATGATTAAAGGACAAAAATTAATAAGAATTGTGGAGATGTAGAAAAAGATATGTGGATAGTATTCTTAATTTTTCTTGGGATTTACAAAACAAAGAACATGCGACATTTTTTTTTTTATTGGGCCATATTAAAAGGTGAGTATATGAAGTGCTTACTAGTGATATATTGTACCCAATATTGTAGTATGATACATTCTACCTAATGTTGTTACTTTTATGGTTAATTCTCAATAAGGCCCAAAAAGGATTAAGGGTATTTTAGCCACGGCAAGTGGTCTGGTGGAAGTGTGATAGGATTCCAAGTTATGGAGGCTCCTTGGTCATGGGTTCGGTGAATAACAAAAGTAATTTCCTAGTTTAAAGCTTTGGGAGGATGCGTGCCATTTTACTGTGGTCAGAGGTGGGCTGATATGCCTTTAGCCTTCCGAGTCCTACTGGAGATTAATCCTACCCTTCATGGTGTAGAATACTTTAGGCTTTGGCAAAAAAACAAAAATAAAAAAAATTCTATTTTCAGAATATATTTAGTATTTTTTTTATTTTTATTTTTTCATTTTTTTTCAAAAAAAAAACAAAATAGGAAACATATGATATATCTCTAAACATTATTTTTGTAAGTGAAGGTGAGTTCGAATATTTAAGTAAACCGTTTTGCCTGGACTTACGCTCCCAGGTTCTGTAGCTACGGCTACGTCCACCTACCCATTCGGGCCTAACACTTGCTCCGACAACAGTGTATAAGTCACGCGCTTCAACGCCATCCATTTGCGGATCTGGCTAATTCGGCAAGTGAGTTGTTACACACTTCTTGATTTCGAAATATGCTTATACTACTTAGTATTATGGTCTAATAGTATTCTTCTTCACTTGTAAGTGAGAAGTCTTAGGTTCGATTCTCGTCAAAGGCGAACTTGAACCACGTTATTGCTAGCCCATTGTGAGGCTTAGTCCATTTCCCACCACCTTAATATAGATAATATCATTTGTTCTAAAAAAAATATGCTTATAACGTCATTTATATTTTCTTTGTAACTAAGCTGAACAAAACCTCGTCCTTAATTTTTTGCAATGCGTACACCTTATTCGATATATTTTTTTTATCTCATTTAACAAATACTCTGCTGTCTTTTAAAGTGTTTGATATTGTTGATTGCCTGATGGAGATCTGAAACTTTTGTTGAACCCATTGTTGCAAATCTGTTTTACTAGAAGAGAGAATGCTCATTTTTATAGTGGCACAATGCTCTCCCTCGTCTCATTAGTTAATGTAGACTGGTTTACTCCCTTCAAATGACATGTCATGGAGATATGTTTTGTGTACATGAAACATCTCTTTTTTCACTTAAATTTCTTGGGCATTAAATTTGAAAACACTTAACCTTCTAGTTCTTAAATTATCTAAAAAATTTGAAGTCATACATGTATTTTTGTCAAAAATAAAAATTAATAAATGAACAAAACAAAAAAGTCCTCTTAAACTAAAAAATATTTATTTCAATAAAATTAAGGCAATAAACATTTATTACGAAATGATCATGAATGTATATTAAACAGACATGTCGAACGTAACACTACAATTTCACAAGCACAAGCACAAATTCATCGAGAGTACAAAACAATTTTTCTATCATGGAGGACCCGCATCTAACCAACAAGATAACATTCATGTGGAATAAACCTTGTAAGTCTTACAACCACCACAAAAACATCTTGATGAAAAGACTGAACTGCCTCTAATGATCTTGTAGCAAAAAAGCATTTCTATGAGTCACCTTCAATAAACGCCGAGTTTCCTCCTTATTGTCTTTTGTCATGCGGATAAACCAAAAGAAAAACAAAAATCACCACCTAACTCTGAACACCAATCACGACCAAAGATTTGAGCTTAATCAGTAAGTCATACATGTTTGAAAGGCTCTACTCCACATAGTGAGATATCGACCACAACCAATGCACATTTGCATTTTGGGTCCAAATTAAGTTTCCTATTAAGAAAACTCAATGGAGAATTGAAACTCGAATATTTCGGTAAGGCAACAAAAATCAATTAGCAGAACTAACCTCAAGAGTGATTTTCCATGACTTTTCTAAAGAGTTCCTTAGGAGCTGCAATTGACAAATTGTATTTATTATTATTTTTTTTATAATAAGAGTCGATTAAATATGTTACCATGTTGCTGGTAGAACTTTAAATTTTCCTTGATGTAAATTATTGTACCTGGCAATCCAGTGAACTTCTCAAACTGTTGATATGCCTGTCCAATGAACATCTCCAACCCACTCACAATTGTGACACCACATTCTTTTGCTTCCCTCAACAGTCTCGTCATTTTTGGTGTGTAAATAGCATCGAAAACCAGTGAATAAAATTTCAGAGCATCCTGCAAAAATGGAAAGCCATTTAATTCTGTTATATGAGGCTGTTCGTATCGATAACGCAACAATACAAATGTGAGAAGCAACACACAAACCTTGGAAATGGGTGTGTCACCAACATTCGGTTGCATTCCAATAGATGTTGTGTTTGCAAGAATCATGCCGTCCTCTGGAGGGATATTACATAGATCAGCAAGAGATAATGCGTCACCACCGACGGTGTCTGCAAGTTCTCTGGCTCGATCTTCATGAACACGGTAAATATATAAATAAATTGTTAGCGATATCAAGAACAAATAATTAATCTCAATGCTGTTTTCTTTCTAAAATACATTTATAACCTAAGTGAAGAAAACTAAAAGCAAAAGTAAAAAAGCTTCGTTCCCATTATGCAATCGGAAGCAATCCCATTCTGCTTCCGATTGCATAATGGGAACGATTTTAGAGCAAAAGTGTGTCTAAACCATCAAAATGGAAGAATAGTTTTATGGAATTTATAAAAAAAAAAAGAAACAAATAGTTTTATGGAATATAAAAACAAAGACAAAAGTAAACCATATGTGCGATTGGCAATTAGAATCCTTGCTCCCTTCTGCTTTGCACCATAAGCAAGTGCCTTGCTCGCACCACCAGCACCAATGACAACAAACAGCCTTCCAGCTAAAGGTGAACCAGTTACACTGCCACCATTATGTGAACCTGTGACAAGAGATGCGTGTAAACCTACAGGAAGGTTCTTACAATCACAAACATGGAAGAAAGAGTAGAGCTAGCTGCTACTAATATATAGGAAACCGAACCTTTCAGTCCTTCCTCAATGGCAGAAATAGCACCAACATAGTCCGTATTGAATCCATATAACTTCCCATCAGCTGGTCTCCTTATAATGCAGTTTATAGCTCCGATTGACTAATATGGCGATCAAGATTGATTCAAGTCAATCAAGTACAAGTAGTACAATTCAAGAAGAAAGCGGATAAATACGCGATTTAAAAGAGGTCAGCCAATTCCTCCAAAATAAACTGCAGCATCATAGTAGAAGATTACCTTTGCAACTGGATCAACCTCATCACAGCACTTCAGGGCGGCTTCCTTGTGAGGAATACCAACGCTGCGTCAGAATTGAAGACAAGAAGCTGTGATCTTGAAGGAAAATGTCCAAGAACAAACTGTATATTGATATTCTACTATTTAGACTAAAATACTCAACATGAAATTGAACCTGAATCCAGCAAAATCCACGCATGAGTATGTCTGGAAAAATTTTTCAATATCGTCTACCAACAAATGTGCATAAACGCCGTTGAAACCGATTGACTTGAATACTTCATTGTACAACTTTGGTGATTTGCTGTGACTGACAGGTTTGCTAATGACGCCAAACACTTTTGTGTCAGGTCCTATCTGTCTGAAATTGTATAAATGTAATAGATCCTTGATTGTAGGTTGAGTAGGCGCAGAAACCATTCCCGACTCCAACGTACCATAAGTAAGATAACCCCAAAATTTTGCAGAAAGTATCCGTGAAATCAAACCCCTCTCACCCAGTACAAGTCCTATCAACGGAACTTGAGACTGAACGGTAATTTGAAGAGTGCGTGCTACATCTGTTATATCCAAGGAAGTGGTTGCAATCTTCACTATGTCAGCTCCAGTAGCTTGTATTCTTGCTACAAGATTGCCAAGAGCCTCCACAGATGGGGTATCTTGAAAGTTGTGAGAAGAAACAATAACTTTAAACTTTTCTGGCTTCTTTCCATTTATAGAGTTGATGAATTCACGAGCAACCTTCAAAAAGAAGTAATTAGATTAGTACAAGGTAATTCATATGTATTTTACAATCTTTATGAAAAGAAGTGAATTTCCTAGTATGTTTGTGATGATGGAACTGATAATAATAGCTTATCTACATTTTAGGTGGAGGAGAATGTGTAACCGTTCTTCATCAATACTATTTCAAACATCAAGCGGAGTTATAACCAGCAGCGTTCACAAAACCGACACCAGTTGTTTTCAAGAACAAAGCACTAGCAGTGAGCCTCTTTGTCATCCATGAGATACTACGAACAATTTTTGAATCTCTTTGATGGTTTTTACCTGTGTTCACCTATATACTATATCTGTTTGTGTTTTCACCCTCATTTTAAAACTACTTTCACCTGCATTTTAAAAGTACAAATCATCCCGACAAACAGAAAGTATCAAATGGAAAAATGGGTTTATTAGAATTTTCCGCAGCCATTGTCATCATGTTTACACTAGTGATGGTCCAACCATGGCAAACAACATAAATGATTTGAAGTGGTACATTTGAAAGAGAGCAACCTGAAGCTCGACGTCAATGTAATCAGCTCCGAGCTCCATAACTAACCGAAGTGCATCCAATCGAGTTTTTTCATCACCATCGTACTGGCCACCTTCCCATTTTGGCCTAGAAAAGTACATAACACTGTCAGCTGATAGCACCAGACAGGGAGATTCTTAGGGGAGATCATGATTAAGTGTATGTATTGTAGCACATAGCGAGCTTTCCAGAAATTAATTAATGCCGAAACAGAGTATTCCACTGAAAAGAACCTTTGTCAAAAGATAATGTATTGTAGCACATAGGGAGATTCTTAGGAAAGATAATGTTTTTGATAGGATTTTATCGATTACACCTTTTTAACTGTCAAAAAATAAAGAGCTTACGGAAAACTCGAAAGAAAATACCAAGTCATAAACTAAAACGGAGAGAGTGGGGCTTGTGACATTATTCGATGATTCGATATAGTCAAGCAGTCCAAATGTTGAATATTTTTAGAAGGCAAGGCAATGTGTCACCTATAACTGAACAGTGTCGGCAAGGGGCACTCTTTCACTAGACGCTTGAGATCTTGATTGTGATTGAAAACCTTAAGACAATCCAATCGAATCTCCACAAGGTCAGCACCAACGGCTTTTGCCTTGCCCATATCGATCACCATCTGTTCGACAGTTTCAGCCATTATCGGAACACAAAGTAGGGTAGAATTCCTCGCCGTCATGGCGTTACCTTTCACTTCCAGTCCATCAGCAGCAGCAGCAGAAGAAGAAAAATCATCAAGCTGATAAAAAATTCAGGTAAAAAGATTATGTCAGGTTTTTTGTAAAGAAGCTTGAGTTTTAGGTGCTAAAGTCATATTTTCAGTTAAGAAAATTCAGGAAACTTTTTGTTAAGTTAAATATAGTTCCTCCATTTGCAGCTGAGTAAAACTATGTACTCTTTAAACTTTTCTAGTTAAAAAGTTGGAAGATAAGAAAGGAGTAGAGGATCCAAGTCGGTGTTACCGTAATTTGATGAGATTGCATTGCTCTGAGCTGCTCCTGCCTCTTCCAAATGCCTGGTACGTGAGGGTTGATGTTTGTTCTGAAATGTAAGACGACAGGGAGAGGGAGAGGGAGAGGGAGAGTATGTATGTAGGTCGGTATGGGGGTGTCCGTGTCAGAATGGATAGTCGTAGTTGGGAAGTGCACTGCACAACGCTTTTTAAAAGAGAGATTGATTTTTTTTAATCAGTGTTATTAAGAGGGAGATTTGTACACAACACTCTTTACTCTTTAGGTAGTCTAATGGACACGTGGCATTACATGGTTCGAATGTCGGATTGTTTCCCTATCCTCGTTTTGCTCATGGGAAGGACTCTGTCTAATTAATTATTGCACTACTCTTGATGCCGTGTGCATATCTACTGCTTGTGATACTTAGACATGAATAATATTAAGGAGAATAAATTTTTTAAATTAAATAATATGATTATTGATAATTGAATTATTACTTAAATATTAATTAACGTGTTTATGTTTTATTAGTAACGTAAAATTTAGTTTGTAAATTTAATTTAAATTTTTAGTCTTTTGAACATTATCCGACTAGAACATGAGTCTATTAAAGTGGATATTATTGAAAAAGCAAATGTAGTACAAAATAAGAGAGAAGAATTCAAGGGTGGAAAAATACGCATTCAAGAAACAATATTCAATGAACCTAAACAAAGAAGAAGAATAATTAATGAGCAGTGAAGATGGGTTTTTAAGCCTAAAGTAGAAGCCGCCAAGAGCTGAGTTTTTTAAGCTAAATTTTGACAGTCATTGGATAAAAACGAAGAATTTCGTGTGTTGGTTGTTAGATACAAATGACCATGGGTTTGGTGGCAGCTGTTGCAATGTGGCTCAAAGCTTGTCATCTGTCCTTGTCACGAAATAGTATGCTTTGAAGGTTAGGCAAAACTTTCATTGCACATGCTTTACCCAAAAAAACCCTTTCATACGATAATTTTTTTATACGACTCGTTAATAATATATGAAAGTGACACGAAAATAATGAATTTCGAATTAACATAATAACTATTCGAATCGTTATCAGGTCATCCATTAAGAACTCGTTAACGGGTTTGTGAATGCAAATTTCAGTCATCTATTCATTTGACAAAAATGCACCTGCAAAATAATAGCACATTCGATAAGGGTCAAAATCCTCACGCGCCAATAATGAATTGGGGGGTTTTGGACGAAGAATCTCCAATGCCAAAATTAGAATTCTGAAAAGAAAGTATTTAAGAGCTTGTGGGTAGCCCATGGCTTAGCATTTTAGTGGAATAAAATGAGTGTTTATAGGAGAGTGACCGGTCCTTTGGGTGGAAAGTGGCCGGCCATATATGATGTAATTGGGTGAATAATTGCAGGATATTATGTGAAATAATATCTTGCAATTAACATGAGAATTATTCCTAATTTAGATATGAAGTTTTGGGAGTTATCATCTAAATAAAATCAATAATGGATTGATGAGGAGTGATGAGAGGAATATGAAATAAATTCCATATTGATCACCTTTGACTCTTCCTTGATTGACCCGTTATTGTCCGCTGCATGCACAAGGGAATTTCGGCGTGCCTCGAGGGTAATCTCGTCCTTTTTGTCCAAAAAATCCACGTGTCACTTCCATGATTTTTGAGATTATTTTTGGCTCCATAAATGCCCACACACATGCTGGTTTACTCACAGGAAAGGGTAATAGGTGTAGAGATCTCCAACTTTGATGCAGATTCCCACTTGGACTTGGAATTAGATTCTTCTAGGAAAGGGAAATAAATCGCCATCAAAGCCTATTTAAGCCTACCTTAATAAGGGATTAAATCCACTTCGGAGGGCAATTATTTATCCCTACAAGAAAGAGAGAAAGCTAGAGGATATTTGTTCCCCCTCTCCCACATCATTATTCTTTGCTTGCCTGTGCAAAAAACCATCTTCCATTGATTTCTTTGTCTTCTCCGTGTCGCACCAAGGTAAGAAAAACTTAATTTTCTTTGTCATTTTCTTGAGTGGTGCTGTTGCGGGGCAGCCGTCGAGATGGTGCGGCACGTCAGTTGGCAGAGGCTAAAAGTCGACTTGGCATGAGCCAAGGAGGTGGTGGGGCAGGGGCCATGGCTTGGCTGGAGCCAAAGGCTGGCTAAGCATGGGTCGAGGAAGTGGCGTGGCAAGGGCCACGATTTGGCTGGAGCCAAAGGCTGGCTAAGCATGGGTCGAGGAAGTGGCATGGCATGGGCTACGGTTTAGGCTGCTTGGCCTAGTTAGAGCCAAGAGTAGCTGCGCAGCTATGGTCAGGGCTTGAGGTGTTGGATTACAGTGCTGGTATGTTAACTTGCTTACTAGACCTTCAGTTGAGAAGAAATCATTCGGCTACTAAAAAGGTGTCAAAGTCTGCTTCTTCTGCTGCTGCCACGTCTGTGCTACTTGCCAAGAAGAAGGAAACTGCTTAAGTTTGATTTCTCAGTTGCCGTAGATAGAGCAATCGAGGATGGTGCTGCCAAGATCGAAGCTACTTGAAGATAAAGTGTCGAGTAAGCAAACTATTAAGTGCGAAGCGGCTGCTGAAGGCATAATGGTTGTTGAAGAACCCAAGATCATCCAAGCTGCTAAATGAGCAGTCTTCTGTGTTTAGCTTATGTCGGATTTCATCGACCTTCATATAAGTTTATTAATTTGCTAGAAATTTAATAAACTAATTTCTTCGCTTCATTTCATCTTTGTTTTTTTTGAAACTTTGCTTGCTTGATGCCTATTGCAAAACTTTTAGCCATAGAACCGTCGGTCGGGCACGATGCTTCGAAAAAAGCTGACGATCCCACAGAGGTACTATGGTCGTGAGTTTTGGTTTCTTGGGGCGTTGAGCTATTGAGTTTAGCATCAGCTGCTGCCCCCTGACCATTGCTACTTAGTTGGTATTCGAGTATTTGATCCTTTGAGCTAAGTGGCCTGTATCACAACATGCTAAAGATCTGTGGAATATGAAAATTGTTAACTAATCACATCAAAATAAGTAGTTGTGTGGAAATTCATGGGCAGCTTTCCCCCTTTCATTGAGGAGTGAACCCAGATGAGTTCGGACAATTGGTTTATCCTCTCACACTAGAAAGTTTACTCAGATGGGTGTCAGGGATTTGGTTTACCTTCTCGAACTGGAGAGCTTACCCAGATGGGTGTCGGGAAATTAGTTTACCCTCTTGCACTGGAAAGCAATTATTTTACCTTCTAGCACTGTAAAGCTTACCCATATAGGTGTCGGAGAATTAGTTTACCTATTTCACACTGAAGAGCAATTAGTTTCCCCTTTCACACTGGAGAGCTTACCACGAGGGTGTCGGGGAATTGGTTTACCCTCTCACATTGGAGAGTAATTAGTTTACCCTTTCACATAGAGAGATTACCCGAATGGGTGTCGGGGAATTAATTTACCCTCTCACACTAGAGAGCAATTAGTTTACCTTCTCGCATTGGAGATCTTACCCAAATGGATGTGGCAGGATTGGTTTACCCTCTCGCACTGAAGAGCATGAAAGTCGTTGTCATGAGTGCAACTGAGGAAAGCTGGACTGTTAGACAACTGAAATAATCCTCTGCCTATGAGGTCTCATTTGGCGATCTTCTTGAGACTTTGAACTGCTTGTGGAGCCCACGTAAGGGTGTAAGTTTGAAGCGTAGTGAGTTGCTTCTGGACCTTCTCCAAGTATTACGCCATCCTTAGATGTTTCATTGTGTGTTCTTCTAAGCCTTGGTTGGTGGTCAGTTGAGATTTTGAATGAATTGCAAGCTTCTTCACTGTTAAGTCTTTCGCCAGTAGAGGCTGCTAGTAAAGTCTAGTATTCTACTCCGTCTTTTGATGCTTTGAAGTGTCGTGGGCTTGGTCGGCACGGTTAGGAGCTGCAAGGCAAGATCAGCACAGTTGGGAGCTGTGGTGCAAGATCGGCATGGCTAGGAACCATAGTAACAGATCAAGGGCAGCTAGAAGCTGCAGAGCAGGTTTCGGCATAACTAGGATTCGTGGTGCAAGATAGGTGCGGTTGTGAGTCGCAAAGTAGGTAAGTTCAGCTGTGAGCGCAGAGCTAAGGTTGGCTTCGACCAGGTTATGTGTAATAAAAGGAATTGGACCACTAGGTCCGTGGTGCTTGGCTACTGGCGATGTGCTACCCCAGTATTGAATCTTCTGAAATGATGAGAACGAAACCTGCCCCTGGTTCTTGGTAGTTGGGTTGGTGTGTCCTTCTGGTACCCATCTGCCCCCGGTGAGCCATTAGGCTAAGTGGCTACTTACTTGTCATGCATGCTTTCAATGATGTAGTACTTTCCCCAGGCCAGGGTCAAGCTTCACATGTATGTTTACATCGCACCGCACACTCACCTTAGATCCATTGTAGGTGCCAGTCATGTCTTAGGTTGCAATAGGCAACCAGGACTTGTATGTGATGCGCTTAGCACCAGTCTTCATGTGATTGTAGTACTAGAGCATATATTATGATTACACCCAGTCCTGTTCATGTTTGAATTCCTCTGCATGAACTCATGTTTTAGCATAGATTGATGAGCACCCAATTTTCTTATGCTATGAATTGAGATATCATGACTTGTGTGTTTCTAGCATTATTGTTGATTTCCAATTGATTTCATACTTATACGTAGTATGATTTTCTGAAAACTATACATGTTTTACGGCGAGGGGTTAGTATGTTCAGAAAATAAATGTGTTTTATAAACCTTTGTTTTTGCCACTCACCCTTATGTTTTTCGCCCCTCCAGGACTTAGCTAAATTCTCTATGGCGAACGAGGAATCTCCGGTGGTTCTGGCATATCCCTAAATAATTGTAGGAACTTATATCCGGTTGTGTAATAAGTACCTTAACTAGATTCGACTTCTCTAATTATGTCGTACTGTCATCTATGCTCTGACTATTTATGTTTATGGGTTCTTCCCACTACTACTTACTCTATGTATTAGTTTAAATAAATGTTAGCTTTGGTTTAAATTTATCCATATTTTATACATCACATTCCTTTTGGCTATGTCACCTTCAGGTGTCGGCAGCATACCTTGACTCCGGTCGAGGTGTGTCAACTTAGATTTATATTTAACCGTCAATTGTCATTTAAGCTTTATTCTTTTACTGAATTTTATTTTTCAAATTTTCTTTTTTGA